TGTGCGTTTTGGTGTGTGTGTGTGTGTGTGTGTGTGTGTGTGTGTGTGTGTGTGTGTGTGTGTGTGTGTGTGTTTGGAGGGGTGACTGGGGGTTAAATAAGGCAAATATAAAAAAAACCTACTCTCCCAATTATTTTTTTCATTATAAATTATAAATTACATGTTAATTTTGTTCACATCTGCTGGGTTAAATTCATTTGATTTAATTTGTATGATATGCATTTCAAAAAGTGTACTGCTTATGTTTATCACATTATTTGCTAAATGTTGGCTTTTTTATGTCTTCTGATAGTGATTGTCACCCCTTCCTATTGTGGTGTGTTCAACAAACGCAAACAGCGACGTGTCATGTGTTTCCTGTTGCAATGAGCCTGAGTGACCACATAGAGGCGCTGCTGCACTTTGGTGAAGGAATGGCTTCATGATGGAAACGAGAAGCTGTTTTCGATTCTAAATTCGACATAAATACACACAAAAAAATCTTCCCAATGAAAAAGAATGACAAAGAAGGAGGGGAAAGAGAAGCCACAGCAGCAGTACTACGTTAACAATTACTTCCCGTGTTTCTAAGTAAAAATAATTCTCATAATTACTCATGTTGCAATGAGACTTTATGGCCACATAGAGACGCTGCTTCACTTGTTAAGGATGGTCAGCAGTATACTGTTTTGTTCCTAGAAGACGAAGAAGACGAAGAACACGAAGAAGAAAGTCCAAACAGCAGCGGCAGTTGCGTTGTATCACTTTTTAGCTCATATTTTGTGTCACGACTTTGAGAACAAGAGTTAGGTGACTAAGGGGATTAAAAATGACCCAGTCTGTCATAGTTCAAGTCGGACAGTGTGGAAACCAGATTGGTTGTCGCTTTTGGGATCTTGCTTTGCGAGAGCACGCCCATTTCAACAAAAAGGGATGCTATGACGATACCACCGGCACCTTTTTCCACAACCCGAATGGAGACTCTTGTGGTGATAATGGAAGAATCCAACAGCTGAAAGCAAGAGCGGTGCTGCTGGACATGGAGGAGGGTGTGATCAGTGAGATCCTGAAGGGGCCTTTGGGAGAGATTTTCGACAGCACTCAGCTGCTCACAGGTGTGTCGGGTGCGGGCAACAACTGGGCAGTTGGACACATGACCTACGGTTCGAGCTCCAGGGACAAGATTGTGGATCAGCTGAGGAAGGCAGCAGAACAGTGCCACTGTCTGCAATGTTTTTTTCTTATCCACTCGATGGGAGGAGGTACCGGTTCAGGGCTTGGGACCAAAGTACTGCGTCTTCTCGAGGATGAATTCCCTGAGGTGTGTCGCATTGTCATACCTGTCTACCCATCCGTGGACGATGATGTCATTGTGTCACCTTACAACAGTATGCTGGCCACGAGAGAGCTCACAGAGAATGCTGACTGTGTTCTGCTTGTAGAGAACCAGGCACTGGTCGAGATGTTAAAGATGGAATATGCGTGCCATGGTGGACAACACACGAAAAGCAACAAAGTCTCAGCAATGGATAGGCTGACTGGGCCAGAGAAGCCTTTCGATGCTATGAATGACATTGTTGCTAACATGTTACTCAACCTTACTAGTTCTGCACGTTTTGAGGGTTCCCTCAACATGGATCTAAATGAAATTGCCATGAACCTGGTTCCTTTCCCTCGATTACACTACCTGGTTCCAAGTCTCAGTCCTGTCTCCACACTGCCACGTGTCAGCAACTCAACCAGAAAATTGGATAAGCTCTTTAGCGATGTCTTCAGTAAAAGATACCAGTTAATCAAAACAGACCCGAAGCGCAGTCTCTACCTTGGCTGTGCCCTCATGCTAAGGGGGAATGTTCACATGTCAGACCTGCACCGAAATATTGAGAGGTTAAAGCCCACAGTGCCCTTTGTCTCATGGAATCCAGACGGCTGGAAGACAAGTCTTTGTTCTGTGCCTCCTGTTGGTCACTCTCAATCCCTGTTAGCCCTGGCCAACACCACCGCTATCAAATCCACATTCATGGAGATGAGAGAACGATTCTGCAAACTTTATAGGAAGAAGGCACACTTACACCATTACCTGCAAGTCGAGGGGATGGAGGAAAGTTTATTCTCAGAGGCCGTAACGTCCCTTGACTCTTTGATTGAGGAGTATCATGATCTGGATGCTAGTGTGGGGAAATTAATGCCTGCTGCAGCGAGATTAAAAATTGCAAAATAAAATAATGCTGAAATTTAGTGCTACTAGCAAATATAGCATAGTGTATGCTTGTCTCATTGTACAGAAACAACAATTTTTAAGGATGAATTCAGGCATGAACTGTGAATCATGATGAAATCAATCTTGATTGTAAACCAGCGTGAGCAACACAAAGCTGGATTGGTTACATTAACCAGAGATTTTTAAAAATCCCCCCAAAAGATACTGAATTTCTACAAAAACAAATTTAGTCCAGAGACCTAAATTGAAATCACTACATCCGCATATTGCACAATACACTACCTCACTTTAACCCACAATAGTCACAAGTTCCGTTGTTTATATTGTTTAGATTTACATATGTATGTCTTTTTATACAGTGTAGTTGCTATCTTTATCTTTAGCTGTGTGTTTTAATGCACAGCATGTTTGCACTGAGGATTGAGAGGAAAATACATTTCATCTGTGCTGCATGTTATACATAACGCATATTTGACAATAAAGATGACCTTGCTTGACCTTATGTGCAGTAATGTACTGCAGATCGTCCACATCCAATATGGCCGACACGCTGACGTACCAGAGCATTAGACCGATACGATAATGGGTGAGTACGTATATAATGACTATGGTGCTAAACAAAATCTTGTTTATTGGTGGTCGAACGACAATGAATCGCGTGAATAATGTTAACCATTGTGAAGATTAAAATGTCTAATGTCGATAGTGTAAGAGCATCACAACGACAGTAAGTGTTTCCAGGCATCTTTTTAAGCTGTCGTATACAGTAAAGGGTCACGTATGTACAATTAAATATGTTCAAATAATCAAATATATTGTGTACAATCGGTCACCACGCTCTTAAATTTTAAAAAATAAATTTGAATACATTTCAATTCAAAATTGACATTTTGAACGTTCAAATTCAGCCAGTGTTGAACGCGTCATAGCAAGATACGGAAGTGCCTCGCGCAGGCAACCGTGCTAGGCTAGGCTAGTCAAGAATGGCGCTGCGTGAGTGGTGTGCTAACATGTTTTAATTGTGGGTGGTTGTATTTTCGCGTATGGAGCATTTAAAGTAAGCAAAAGAAATAATAATACAAATCAGTAAGCATCTATATAGGAAGCTGGAACGCCAACGCTAACGCTGGTCGGTAAGGCGGCTAAGCGACGACTTTTGTGCGGCGGTCGACATGTCCTCGTTCTCCGAAGCTGCTCTCGAGAAGAAACTGTCCGAGCTAAGCAACTCTCAGCAGAGCGTCCAGACGCTGTCTCTTTGGCTCATCCACCACAGGAAGCACTCCAAGACCATCGTGCACGTTTGGTACAACGAGCTCGTTAAAGGTAAGCGAAGTCCGGCCATCTGAAAGCGTTCTTTGTCAGCATGTGCAGTTGGTGGTGCAGGCGACCCCCGGGGGACCAGCGACCAAGTGCGTAATGTATCTTGTGTTTACAATTATAGATAAAGGGTCCTGAGGAAAGTACTTGCGATCAGCCTAACCAGGAATTAAAACCTTTAACTACCCCCGGCCCTAGACCCAACCCTTTAAAACCTACATCTTGGCCCAAAGCGCTACACTCTGTTCAAGACCACATGAGCCGAGACCTCGGAAATTTCAGTCGGACACAAGACAAGCTCTTGGGAGTTGACCAAGACTTTCAAAATGTGGTCATAAAATCAAGACCGGCCTTGAGTGTTACATCTGCTTGAGCCGCCAGCTGCTTCTTGATATTGCAGTCTTAAGTTCTAAGTTCTCTGATCACGACATGAGTACTCTCCTTGCTTGTGTGTGCAGCTCCGGTGTCACGCAAGCTGACTTTCCTCTACTTGGCTAATGACGTCATTCAGAACAGCAAGCGGAAAGGACCGGAGTTCACGCAGGATTTCGCACCGGTCATCGTTGATGCCTTCAAACATGTTTACAAGTATGCTTGCACTACTCGTTCCTGTGTGTGTGTGTGTGCCTTGCGTTAGTCCAGGGATCACCAAATAGTACCCAATGTGTTCAGTGTTTTCACATAGATGAAGTAGTTATTATAAACATACAATTCGAAGGTCATTTTTGCAAATTTGTTATTCCAGAAGTGTGTATGAAACTGGTAACGGGGATACATCAATCAGTAGCCAACAGTGACCCCTGCCCTTGTGCTAACCCAGTGTCGCAAACAAATTGTAATCTTCAGTTTGTTGTCGTGGTGTGCGTTGTCCCTTAGAGAGTGCGAGGACGGTTGTAAGAAGCAATTAGGCCGGGTGTTGTCCATCTGGCAGGAGAGAGCCGTCTACGAAAACGAGCTCCTTGACCAGCTGTCCAGAGTCCTCTGTAAGCTCCCGTTTGCTTTTCGTCTCACGCAAAATTGCAATAGTACACTGATGAGTCATCGTCTTCTGTGATGTTGCGCAGATGGCGAGAAGAAGCCCACAAAGAGGTCCTACGAGTCCATCCAAGCCCTGAACGACAACTTCGCTGGACAGACTTCTCCAGCCGAGCCCCCACAGGTCCTGGCCTTGACTGTGTAGTAAAAGGGGATGGAATTGAAATGGTTTCCGCAATCTATTGTCCACATTTCACAAAATATATCATACTGGGTGGCTGTGGGGCTTTTTCCTCGCTGCAGCGACGGGCTCTAAAGCGCCCGCGCCAGCCTGAAGCCCCGCTCCACATGCTGGAATGAATATGCTCACATCTGGGGGCACTCTCAGGCGGCCACACCAGTGCAAAGTACTGGTCCACACACATGATGTGCACTTGCAGCAGACAGTGAGATGCTCTAAAGCAGACACGTCAGCCAGAAGACCCAGTTCTCACTCTGACTTTCATGTCTGACTTCTTAAAAAAAAAAATCCTCCCTTTTGGGACTTCCACTTATCTCACCATAACGTATGTGCACACATGGACGACGGGGCGCTCGAAAGCAGCCACGCCAAGCTCAAAACCCCAATCCACACAATGGCTAGGATTTAAAAAAAATTTATTGTCCACTTCTTTTCCCCTCCTAGCACGTCCACCTTTCTCACCATGACACGTGCACACTCATGGGTGACAACGAGGCGCTTTAAAGCAGCCACACAACCACAAGGCCCAGCTCAAAATCGCCCTTTTTTACACCACTTGTAAATACTGAAGAGCCCAATGGCATTGACATCATCGAATTATCTAAATGCATGAAGCTGCCTCTGGGGAAAATGAATGTATCTTTTCCTTTATGCAGGAAGTGACTTTCTTCTGATTTCTGATAGACCCGAAGGGGGCCGCTGTAATACAACGCGCTTGAGTTTGAGGCCTGATGTTGTACTGGTGTCATCCTGACAGACGTCTGAGTTGATCCGAGCGCTTCAGGAGCTGGAGAATGCCACCTCGGAAGACTCACTCCTGCGTCAGCGCATTTCCTCGCTGCCCGCCGAGGTGCAGGACACGTCGCTGCTGCACAGGATCACAGGTAGGCGGAGACATTGGACTCACGTCAGACATCTTTTATGACGTCGTCGTCGTGGTGCTGTTATTTTTATCGACATTCTCACGCCACAACGTTAACTACACTTGCTGAATCTCAGAACAAAATCAAATTGGATCTTGTACAAGAATTTCTGACATCTTAAGAATTTTTGTTCCTCAATGTAAAAATGAATACCGCTTTTAATCAAAACTGAGCAATGGTTTCCACAGCTCTGACATAAAAAAAATATATATATACATCGAAATGTCAGAATTGATTATTTTTTTTATTTTGGATGTGTCATTCAAAACTGGTCATTTTCTGAATTTACTTCAAATAAGAGTTTTAAAATTTCACATATTTTAGTTTGGTTAAAACAATGTATTTTCTAAAGTTTTTGACCCAGCTCTTAACGATTGTTGTTATATATTTATAATATGTATGTGAATATTTATTTATTTGCATTTTGTTTGTCATGTCAGACTATATTTGTCATGTCAGACTAATACTGTAGTTATTTTTATCTACTTATGTATTTCATACACAGTATTTTGAAATGGTATTTACATTTTTTATTTGGCCGTACCGTTTAAAGTAGTACTTTTGAACACAGCTTTTGGGTTGGGACAAATGAAGTGTATCACATCCTATTGCGTTTCTGTCTCAGATAAGGAGTCTGGCGCACGTTTTTCGCGCCAGGTGGACGACGCCTGCATGCTGCTGGCCGATTACAGCGGCCGCCTGGCAGCCGAAATCGACGACCGGCGGCAGCTGACGCGCACGCTGACCAGCTTCCTGCAGAGCCAGCGGGATGGTCTGGTGCACAATGAGCACAAACTCGAGGTCCGTAATAAGTTTTTTGGGGGGTTTGAGTCACTTTGTAATAAATAAAAAAAGGGGGGGCGGGGGAGGACTGATCTTGTTGGTTGGTGCTGTTTTTTTGCCAAATGTTTGCTTTTTGTGATACATTTCTTTTAAATCAAGATGTCGTAAATGTAATTAATTGTACAAGACAAAATCCAGATTTCCGTGGCTTTTTCTTTCTCCTTTTCCAGGAATACAAACGCAAACTGGCCCGAGTGAGCCAGGTCCGGAAAGAGCTGCGATCCCGCTTGAACAATCTCCCAGGCGGACATCACAACTCCTCCACCTGACATTCGACCTGGAATCTCTCTCTCCTCTTTTAGCATTGTTTGTTGTATTTTTTTTTCCAGTGTGTTTTCAATTCCTTCACTTTGTTTTGCTCATTTAATGCATATTATTATTGCTTTTTTTTTTTTTTTGTTCCCATGTATACTCATTATAGCCCACCCTTCTTGCCAACTTGTTTTGTCCAATATTCTGTACGAACTGTTCATTCAAGCTGCAATTGCAAAAGTGTGATTAAGGAGTCAGTGTACATACCGGTAAGAATACGTGGCTGCATGTAAATATCTTATTTGTGAGTTCATGTCAATATAAAATTTTTCCATTTTGGTTGTGGCATTTTGTACATATCTGCTGGTGTCCAATAAATCAAAATGGCAACCTCTGCCTTCTGTGGTGAGATTTGCATTTCCAATATTTTTTTCAGGATCAAAATCAAAACTAAATTGAATTGAAAAAAACAAAACGAGGTGTTTACTGCATATGATTTTTGTTGTCTTTTTATAAGAAATTCAGTTTATTGTAAAACAATTTGTTCATTCAAATTCCGATTTTAAAGTGTTTTAAACAGAATTGGTTAAGATGCTTATTTTTTAATAAACTGAATTTATTTCAACATATTTTTTCCCCACATGTTTTCATATTCAAAGCCAGATCTTAATTTTTCGAAAATTCTGTGTTAGAAATTGAGATTCAAACTCAAATGGTCCTGAAGGTCCAGGTCTTTTTTTGGTCGTTGGATATTACGTTTGGAAGCGGATATTGAAAAGAAAAATGACTACTTATTTGATTTTTGTTTTAAAATGAAAACACAAATTGAAAGACCGCTTGATTTTTCAGTTTGTTGTCTGGAATGAGTAAGGAAAAGTCTAGCAACAGTTTTTTTTAAATATTTTTATTTCTACCACAAAAACAGAATACAGTATAGCACGAGACACAAATGCAAAACGACTCGTCTCGATACTTGATTCCCGGAAGTTGTCACCGACAGCATTTCTACTACTGACCAGGAGATGGCGACAGCGTGAGGACTGAAGACGATATCGTGTTGTGTAAAGAGAATTAGGTTGCCGTATTTTATAGCATGTGATTCATTTTTGTCGCGTGAAATGGAAGCCCTAATTTCCAGGGTAAGCTAAAGCAGTCATCATGACAAGATCACGATGGACCAACTGTTCTTTTAATTTCAATTGGCATGCAATATAGCGCTGAGTCGAGAGGGGGCGTCGATGATAATTTCCTCTACATACTATTGTACTCAACCGGAAGTGGATGGTTTGGAGTCGCAAACCTGTAAATTGATTAGGAGTAACATTGTTTCCGATGAAGATTAAATATTAAGACGAATGATATACTTTTCGTCCGAAAATATTACTTGAACAGAAATATAGTCAATACATCTTTCATTCTGTGGTTTACGTTAAAACCGAAATAGCTTCCATTTCAAGCCACGTACTAGTTGCGTTTGCATGCTAGTTAGCTTAGACTCAAGTGCTATCGTCGGCGCTCCTGTTGAAATTTAAACGAAAAGAAGATCAAGTTAAGCAGTAATGGACGGGTTGACAACTCCTTACGAAGATGACTCGGAAACGGAGTTCATGGAATGTTCGGTAAGCGAGATAGAATGGAGTGTGGCAACGTCGTAATTTCGTAAGATGTTTACTTTTTTTGTTTTTAATTCGTCAAGGTGTGTGAAGTATCCCTAAAGGGCCTCAATTTGTTTAAAATACACGTGACGACGCCGGGACATTTAAAGGTACATACCATTTTATCATAATAAAACAATATGATTGTTGTACATGACTCCAGTCGTCCCACAAAGAAGGTGAGTTCTGTTAGAAATGAACTCTTTCACAATGGTGAAATGTTGAGTCTGTATTAAAACGCTGTATTGACTCATTGTTCTGTAGGAATGGCACAAACGCAGACTCAGTGGATAAAGTTTTTAGCTTTATTTTAAGCATTTGGAGCCAAAACGGGGGCCAGCAAGAAGTAGCCTTCTGGACGCTGTTCAGCCACCAAGGAGCAATAGATCAGGCGTTCTACATCTTTTCGCGACACTAAACATTACAAAACCACTTGGTTGTCAACCAGCAATGAAGAAAACATGTGGTCTTGATCTTCACAGAAGAAAAGACTACGTTCCTTTTCTGCTTTTCCCACCAAGTCTTGGCATGGGGTGAACACGGCTTGTTTTCTGCTCTGCAGCCATTTGTTGTCTTGATGCCACTGTGTACCGCGAGTACTGACGAGCTTGAAACAGTCTTGATTACATCTGTGGTGTCTTCAGACTCAAGAATATCATGGAAGAGGAAAATTCAGTTTTCACCCCCAAGGTTTTACTAACTCTCCAATCTCTGGCACACACTCCAGCTTTCATACTCCACTTTTTGGGGGTCCGTGGCTCATCTCGAACCGAACACCTTCTGGTCCTAATCAACTCAATCAATCCTCTCACATCTTAGTGTAGCTTCTTTGTCGAACTCTTTTGTCTTTGATGTTTGTCTTGTCTTCTCTTGGATATTTTGATAAGAACCTTTGGGATCAGACCCTCTTGAGTACAATCGACCTGAAGGCATCAAGCAATGCCTTGTTCTTTTATTGTACCCGAAAACAACTTTTGTAAGGATGGAGGACTTGGTAAGTTTAGTCACCCGTGATCCTGTTTGTCCACTTTGTCCGCTCACCGCCCACACGTCAGTATAAGCAAATTTTTGACTGCTAGTTGAGTGGTTGGTTCTCCCTAAAATGAATGTATGAAATGACCTTACTGTTAAAGATGTCTGTTTCCATCGTAGAGCCATCAACACCTGTGCTCAACACTGATTGATTTTTTTTTTTTAATTGCTCTCCTTTCATCCCCTGGCAGAAAGAGGATGCCGCCGTCGCTGCTGGTAAGTAGACTCAGTTGTCCATCAAGCCGTTTGGGGTCTGCCATGGCCTCTCGTATGTTCGCTCAACTTTTCTCTCGGCCTGTTATGTACAGGTGAACACGCAAAGGCAGGAACTGTTGCTTGTTCTTTGCAGACATTTTCCATGTCTATGAAATTGTGGTCGCGGCGACTTCAAATTTGCTATCAGCCATTGATATTTTCAATCGGATCATCAAGCCTTCATTTCTGAGTCCCGGCAAAGTTGTCCTGAATTTTTATCTCGGTGGTGTTGCAGGGAACAAAGTCCTGGCATGTTTGTGGCAACTCAGCGAAAACAAAATCCATGACCAACCAGTTGCAAGAAATGGAGGAAGCTCATTTGTCTGCCTTAAATTCATGTCATTGTTTTTCTCTTGGAATCATAGCTTTGTGTTGGGAAATGAAGTGACTGGGCATGTTTTTATACATAGCAGCAGACTCAACTTGTGGGTTCCAGCAGAGTTCTCCCATGCTCTCCTCGTGGTGATCTTGTAGGGAATCGGGTCCTGACACTTTCCGTACTGCTGCAACTCATCTGAGGCAAAATGCAAGACGAACCAGTTGCAGGCAACGCGGGAAGCTCATTTTTTTCTGTCTCCATTTACCATTTGTTTCTGTCGCCATCGTAGCTTTGTGTTGCGAAGTTAACCAAGTGTTTTGTTTTTTTTCCTCCCCCCGACAGAAGAACTGAAGTTCTAAAGTGCTGTAAGTGTAGCGTTGTTCTTGGGTACCCAAAGCTTGGTTCTCTTCGGTTCTTGAGTTTGGTTCTTCTCATGAGGAACTTTAATTTGGTTCTTTTTGGTTCTTGAGTACATGTGGTGATGCTCTTTTTTTTCTTTTCTTTTCTTTTTTTTTTTTTTAAGTGTGGATGCTGCACAAAGCTGCATTACTTTCTGTAAATGGTGCCTGGCTCCTGTAGTTGCGACTTTTTTTTTTCTGTGTGAATCAGAATCATCTTTATTGGCCAAGTATGTAGAACACACAAGGAATTTGTCTCCGGTAGTACAGGCTACCCGAGTATCATCAATAACAAGCAACTACGATAAACAAGGACATGACAAATAAGTATGGAAAGACATTCCGTAATGTCAGTGTACCATTGTGCCGATAGTACCACCCAATGACAGCTGTGAGACAATGTGCAAAGTATCAAGCAGAGCTAAAGTGATCAGTGGTAGAATACAATATTATAACAGTTGTGCAGTTGGTGCAGATAATCATTGCACCATTTTAAAGTGACCAGAAGCCGTATTTGTAGAGCACGTTTAAGTGTGCAATTGTACAGAAGTCCTTGAGCGCTTTAAAGTGTCTGGTGTTGTGGAATAGAGATCAGTGACAGTGGTCACTTTAGGTGGCTAGAGGGAAGAAGCTGTTTGAATGTCTGCTGGTTTTGGTGCGCATGGATCGGTAGTGCTTGCCTGACGGGAGTAGCTGGAAAAGGTGGCGGGCTGGGTGCGGGGGGTCCAGTAGGATTTTCCGTGCCCTTGTCTTGGTTCTTGCAGTGTGCAAGTCCTCAAGAGTGGGTAGGGCGGTGCCGATGATTTTTTTTTCCGCAGTCCCAACTGTCCGTTGCAGTGGGATTTTGTCCTTTTTTGTTGCGGGCCCAAACCAAACGGTGATGGAAGAACGCAGGATTGATTCGATGACTGCCGTGTAGATCTGTCTGAGCACCTCCTGTGGCAGGCCATGCTTCCTCAGCAGCCTAAGGAAGTACCTCCTCTGCTGGGCCTTTTTCATGATGGAGTTGGTGTTGACCTCCCACTTCATGTCCTGGGAGACTGTGATAACCAGGAACTTGAAGGTCTCGACGGTTGGCACAGGGCAGTTGGACAGTGTGAGGGGCAGCTGTGGTGAGGGATGTTTCCTGAAGTCCACGATCGTCTCTACCGTCTTGAGCGTGTTCAGCTCCAGGTTGTGTTGGCTGCACCAGAATACCCTAACGATTAACGAAGCAGGCTGGATCAGAAACCTCCAGGATTGATCGCTCACTATTCTGTTTTTTAAACCGTGCCGGGTTTCGGTCATATGGGCAACGGCATCATCATTTTTTTTCCCTAGCATGTGGACCCCCGTAGAGGGTTTTACTTGAGAACTTTTCTTCTGGAGGTCTTGAAAGGTTCACACTAACATTGAAAATTCTTCTGATTTTCTTAAGGCATCATTCCCAGTATGGACATCACTTGAATGGGTGTCCCAACGTGCAACAACGCCAAACTTGCTCTCTATGCATGCATACACGTATAATGATTTAGAGAAGGTGAACATTTTGTCAATTATAAAAATTAACTCATTCACTCCCAAAGACGTTTTTAAACGTCTTTTCAGATTTGGTCTAGACTTGGCTGGTACTGAATGAATTAACCAGGTTCAGAAAATAAATGAACGTGGCGTACTAGTCTTCTCGGTTATAATTTAAGCAGTGTACTGTCAGCAAACTCAAAATGGATTCAACTATTGCCCTGTCGTCATGCGTCTTTTTTTTTTTTTTTCTTCTTTTTTTGGGGTGGTGCTGTCAGGTCACATGGTCCGAAAACAAATCATCCCTAAGTTTGACGATATTTTACAATACGTGGATTACCTGAACCTTGACGAACCAGTAATCGGTACGTACCGCAGAGCGCACTTTTCAGCTCTTAAATTAATGTGCCATAAGAATCGCGTTCTCCCATTTCAGGTTTAAACTTCTTGGAAGAGGTGCCGTGTGTGAATGCGGCCCATGCCAGTATGGGGCCCCGATACACATGCACGCTTTGTAACACCACCGGGTACCCCCCAGAAATGATCCATCATGTGATTGGGCGAAGACACAGACAGAAATATATTGTAATACATTTCTTATTTCTACACATTTTTCAAAAAAATTAATAATAATAGTGTGACACAAAGCAATCTATCATTGCAGGAGAGCAAGCGTCCAGATCTGGTTTCTTGGGATAAACACTTGGTTATGCAAACGGGCAAGATAATTCGCACCAGAGCGGAGATCATCGCCCGTCAGGACGGAAGCGGCCGTCCCAAAGTAAGATGCGTGGTCTTCTAACTTTGTCCTCGGATCCAAAGAGTGAAAAGGAAGGACCACAAAAAAAAACTTGTTTATGTTACAGCCGATGAAGAAAATGCAGAACGTGGGAAATCGAATGACAAGAGGTAAATAAATACACAGTAAGAGCGCCTGCAGTTATGAGTGCAAACAAACGGCGGCAGAAATAGGTCGCGGTGTTGTCATGGCGACAGTTTATGCATCAATAAATACGATTCGTACAAGCGTAGGTACCTCCGTCTTGTTTTCTGACTACCAATAGGTGGTTTTGCCGAAGTGCGGGTAGCTTGGTTCAAGTGAACCGTGGCTTGCTTCTTTTTGGTTCGTGACCTATTTCGAGTCTTGAGGACAGGGAGCTTGGTTCTTGCGGACCAGTAGCTTGATTCTCATTGGTTCTTGAATGCATGCTTTCTTTTCTTACCTGTAATTTGGCTCTCTCTTGATTCTTGAGTACCTGTAGCTTGGCTCACAAATATACAATGAAGTGACTGCTGTACAGGTTGGGCAGTGGTGGCGATTCAATGTTCAAGTCCCTTTGCTTGTGTAGTTCCCCCCTGGCAGATGCCGAAGGTCGACCCACTGAACATTTCAGGCCAGCTCCAATGGAAGCAGAAATCCCAAGACACGGACCGCGGTGGTTTTTTGCCGGATCCTGTGAGCAGAACCCCGTTCGTCTCGGCCGAGGCTCGCCCGATGAATGTGGCGGCGGGAGGCAGACAGACGACAATCCCGTGGAATCAGCAGCCGGCGAAGGCGGACGGCTGGGAGAAGGTTCCTCTTCAGGGAAAGAGTTTGGACCTGGATTATTTTCTCAATAATGATGTCACACAAAAAAGAACGGTGGAGCCCTACAAGGAGACACAACGGGCTTTGGATCGACCCGCAGAGGGTTACACCACCTACGGAGAGCAGGGAGCAAAAAATGAGTTTTTGACAGAGGATGGAAGGCGTCAGTTTCAATCCCCGTGTCTTGATTATCAGCACCAGAGTCCTGGCTTTCAAGGAGATGACCAGCAGTGGTCCACTGACAATGATCGAGGTGTGAGGCTCGGGACAAACGTGCCGAAACCTCCCACGAGGAATTTTCGGTTACCTTCGGACAAGCCTATTGCACATTTTACGGATTACAATCACGGGATGCAACCAGCAGAGTCATTTTCGGCTGGACTCTCCCAGACTCCTCAGGAAGTTTCCAGGAGCATGTCAGCCATTCCGGCACCTTTCCGCCGCTTCATGAAGGGTCCTGCAGGCGACGAGGTATCGGGTAGATGCAAAAGAAAGAGTCGCTTCTCGGATGCCACACCTGAGGAGGTGGCGGTGGCCAACAGGATGTAAGCAAGTTCTTGTTCGCGTTCTTTTGTTCTTGTTGCCATGAGTTAACTTCCCCGGATTATTGGTAAACAGGTTCAATGCCGGACCCCGAGATGCCAAGCTCAGAGCTCCTCTGGAATCAGGCGGTGGAACGTTCCAGCAGGAGACCCGCAGAATGATGCAGCATCCCGATTGGTTCTCACAATCACAGGTAGTGCATCGCGATCCAAATGACAATTTCTCTTAATACCCATCGTCCCATGCCGGGTTTTGGGTAGTATTAACATTAGCCGATGTGGTAAATGTACCAATGTGGAGGGTTGACTGGCAACTGTCCTAGTTTTCGAGGTAGTACCACATAGTCAAAATGAATGGGGGGAAAACTTTGGGGTGGAGCTTGCCATCATTTGTCGAAAGCAATGCCGTCCTCTTGCAGTCCTAATTGGCCGGGTTCCGTGTAAAAGGCCTTTTTGTTTGTTGAAGAACTTTTCTCTTTTCATTCAGCAAAACAGTTCTGCACTTCTGCAGACGCCCTCACAACGCGACAAAACATTCCAGGAAGAGTCCGACTTCAGAAGAGCTGAAGACTATTACGGTGGGGAAGGCAACGGAGGAGGAAGAGACTGGAACAACACGCGTGATGGCCAGCAGGTGTACCAGCATCAAGGACGCAGTGAGCCCAGCGACTTGAACGGTAACCGTTACAAAGGTACTGAGTGTAAGTTTCACAACATCAGCTCTATGTCCAGAATCTAACTTGTCACCTTTTCTCCTGTGCTTCAGCGGATTTTGGCCAGCAACAGATGTACACAACATCTCTTCTGGATGAGCGAGCACAGTGTCCGGAACAATTCCAAGGAGGTGGCCAGCAGCGGCTACAGTTCTCCAAGAGTTTTTATGATTCTCGTTCGCCACCATTAGACATGGAGAGGCCTGCCAGCTTGCACCGGAACCCTCAATACTCCAAAAGTCTGGAAAAATTCACATCCACTATCCTGGAATTACTCTCCAGGAATTCATCCTACAATAATTAGTGTCTCATAGCCTCAGTTTTGAATTGAATGTTTGAAATACAATGTTGTCTTTGTTGACTATCTACCCAACAATTTCTTTACTGTATGTTCTCATGGTTGCGCGAGAGCTAACACCTAAATTGGTTGACTTTGGGCGAAGGTGATGTTCAGCTTGGACTGGTCATCAGCCAGTCACAGAACAAAGATAAACAAGCACATCTGTGATCTTTGATGCAATGATTCCCGACCAGGGTGCCATGGGAGAACATCGGGTGCTGTGTGAGATGATCCAATTTCACTCAATTTGTATTTGAATGTAAAACTGCCTGATTTTGGAGTGTATGAGAAGGCCCACACCAGGATGGGGGAGTACTTCTGCAATTTGAGACAGATGTGCTTACCACTTACAAAGCACCTTTTCCATTGTTGGTTATTTTTCAGGAGACGTGAATAATAAAACTTTTGTCGACTGCCTTGTCACTTTTTGCTAACTGATGCCAAAATAGGTTCTTAAGAGTTTGAGTATAAGGCATTTCATTTTTTCTGTTTCTGTTATGTGCTTGGATACAATGTGAATGGAATATTTTTCTTTGACGTATTTGTGAATGTCTGCCTAATGTTTTTTTTTTGTGTGTGTCTTAGAAGCCCATGTGGGCTGGGCATCTATAATTAGTTAGTTAATTGTTTATTGAACATACAATACAATCACAATTGACAAAAGGCAAGCAAAATTACAAAAGGAAAAATAAAAAGTAAAACATGGTGATAATGGTGCATGACAGTGTCATAGTAACTAAACTTCCAATATGCAAGACTATTACATGTAAATGCCAACATCTCATTACCATTATTTTATAGTTTGCAATTACTCTTGAAATACACACTGAAAAAAATATGACCACTGAACAGGTACTTGGTACAGGAACTTGCTGTAATTTTTTTTTTCTTTAAGTCAAATAGACACAAAAATAGGGCAACTGTGAAACAACTAGTTATGAAATATGCTTCACGTAATTAATGAAAACCTTTTACACAAACATTTCTTTTGCAGTTTTTATTTTTTAACTACAAATAGAATAAAAATCGATTTTTATTAAACACAAAAAAAAAATATTTCATTTTAAATTTGTATTAACCATAAACACTTTTCACATAAATTGTTTTCCTTTTCATGAGCCGTTCCTGTTGACACTTTAATACTATTTATACTTTATTTAAATATTGGCGGCTTTCAGAATCACAGACGTCATCACATCGCGCGAGAAATAACTTCCGGTGCAAGCTGCAGCCATCTTGTTTCACTTCGGATAACTAAATAAAATAAATAATAGTGCAGAGCCGGTCGTCGCTTCGACATCAACAAAGTGAGTACCCAAAGTCTCAAATTCTTTGTGCGACGTGTATGACGGGAGCGTGCGGCCCCGTGACGGTTGCTCGCGGTGCGAGGGTGGCCGTAAGACTTTTCCCCAGTGTTCATGTGTTCGTTCTTGACCAATGGACGATTGTTTTGGGGGCGAGATGAACACCGGCGCCATTTCCCTCCCCGCGCTGCGTGAGGCGCTTATTGGGTGGCCGGCTCGGAAACCGACGCCTGACGTCCTCCATTTTGGCTCGCCTCGTCAGTGAGCGCACGACCCAGCGGGCTGTTGGTGACGGAGCCCGAATGGCGCCAGTTGCTTTCCCAAGCAACATTGGCCCCCAAGAAAGCTTGATTGGTGGAATGTAGTCCGAGGTTTGATTGGTCTGAATGACACATCCAAACGTTGTCTTTATTGGTTCGGGCTCCTTCTTGCCCCGACCAGAGTGAAGCTTCATTAAATTCCCACTTGATGATGGCGACTGCAATGAAATACCATTAACTCTTAGCTCACAGCATTGGCGTTAGCTTCAGCATTACTGTTTGAGCTAACGTTTACAAACCGAGTTGAAAACATTTCGCTAGCTTGTGTCTAACCACACTTGGGTTAACTTGAGGCACGCTTTGCATCTTTTGCCTTCGTCGCGTTTTGTTATGGTAGCCACCAAAGTCTTTTTGTATTTTTTAAATTTGTTTTACGTCGACGTCGTTTGAAAAACGTCAGCGCTTTGACGTATGCTGGCCAACCAAGGGGACCGCAAGGTCATGAGGATGATGTTACTGGTGGCTTTGCGTACAAGGTGCTTCTCATCAAACGACATAAGATGCAACAAAATGGTGAATAACGTTTTCACAAACTGCATTAAGAGAATGAATGATGACATTTCTAGGGGCGTTTCGTTTCAGAAATAGTGCACCGTTTCTCCAAGATGATCAAAAGCAACGTAATACCCCCACCCCCCCAAAAAAAAAACCCCGGATAATTTATAATATCGGGACAAAATAATGCAATGGGAAATAGGAAAGAAAAATACTAAAATATAACCAAAAATAATCCACATATGCAACAAAAATATACTGTATAATATACATCAAAAAGATATGACCCCCCCTTCCCTGACAAATTTTAGACTGAAGAACTAGAAAACTGTGCAATTCTTATTCTTGGCGAGGAATAAGAAATAGAATATAAGAAAAAAGACAGATTCAGACAAAAACATTAGATATGACCAAATAGACAATACACGGAAATACACAAATTGAAAATGCATGCTAATTGAAAACAAAAGACCCACGATTAAACTTAGTAAGCTGCTGTAATATTAGTCTTTTTTTTGTCTTGCAACGTATCAAGAATATATGTGAGGGTTATCACAACATTGATGCTACTTAGCATGTTTATGGCTTTTTGTATCGTGTGTTAGCATTAAGCTAGCAGATTTTATGGACGAGCACAAAATGTGTTTTATTAGTTTACTTAGAGTGTTAGCAGTTTTTAGGGCGAAATATGTGATAAAAGTGAGCAGCTGAAAGTCAGCTTTGCCTCCATGGTGTGTGTTTACCCAAAGGTGCAATCTGCCTCCTGCGTGTTTATCTCCAAACACGTCGCCGCTGCAGGTCATGGGAAGGTCTGCCGTCCGCCGTGACCTTGACAGGTGCCTTCTTTTGGGGGGGGCGCATGTTGTGCTGTACTAGTTGGTCACCCAAATAGAAAAAAGGAACATCGCACGGAATCTCGGTTTCTTTCATCCTGTTTTTCATCATTCAGTTAGATTTTCCTGCTTGCCCGTGTTAAAATCACAGATGATGTATCGAAACTGTAGGAAAAGTTTGCAACAAAAGAAAACGGTTTTGATAATAAGCGAAAATATTAGACAGGCTAATTGAAAAGATACATATGCATATTAAATGAAAAATACACACATTTGACAAACAAAATAATATTATATATAACATTAAAAAAAACTTCAAATAAAAATACTTGAAAATGTCTTTAAGTCTGAGACTGAATATTAAATGAAGACGACACATATAAAACAAAAAATACTAGAAAAACATTTTGGATGGAAATGAAATGCTATTACAACATATTAAAAAAATAGCAGAAGTTATCAGACAGAATATTAGAAAAATACACATGAATATTACATGAAAAATACATTGAATATGATAAAGTAATTCAAAATATCAGACAGGTAATGTATTGATGTCAGACAAAAAATTGAAAGCAATACAAAATATTCGGACAGAAAATAAATACAAAATTATCGCAAATACAAAATATTGAAAGTAAGCAAAATAAAATGAACACAAACATTGGATTAAAAATTGATGAAAAAAAATATGGTTGAATAATACACCATTTTAGACAGGAAAAAAAATTATATATTCTGATAAAATAGTATATATTCCCCAAACATTACTAGAGATCAAACAAAAAATTCAAGTATGGAATGGAAATTTTAAGACTAAAATGTACAGATATTGGACCAAGAAAATTGAAAGTAATGTAAAGTCATCTCCTCTTTCATCTCAAACTGCTTTAAACAACAAAGCGAATAGACAAAATGTCACCAAAAAAAAAAGACCTAAAACAATTTCTTTTGACCAAAATATTAGACAAAAATACTCATTAAATACCAAATATTAGAAAAAAAACACAATTAAATCATACAAAGTGTCATCCAAAGGTATTGTGTAGGAAAAAAAATACCTACATTTTAAACAAATGTTATCCAATTTGTACACAGTGGAAAAGTTGTGTATAATGATCGGGTTTTTTTTTTGTTTGTTTTTTCATTCTTCCCTCCTTTCTGTGTCATTACGAGGATCGCCGGCTAACAATGGGCACCATTGTATGCCTGCAATTTGCTTTCAGGAGCCCTCGGGTTTATTTTTTATTTAAAAAAAATTATTATTATTTTTTAATCACTTGTGTCTCGTAATTCGTTTTGTCCATTAATGTCCCGTGCACTCTAACTAAGTAGCCTTTGATTTTATTAGCCTCCCTTTCTCGCCGGAGTGTTCCGACGTTTTTTTAAAAAAATTTTGCGACATCTCCATTCACGTATCATTGGGATTTAATTGGATCCTTTATGTGGCGGTGGCGAGTTAGGACAATTGTCGAGTGGAAATAGAGAAGAAACATAATATCATTATGTTATGGTGCCCAAAATGTTCACGGTTATATCTGTCGTATCGCTAAACATGTCAGTCTCAGTATTGTTTATCGTCTGTGAAAAACAATACACGAGCCTAAAGTATGATAATACACACACATTGTGTACTATTTTGGCATTTAAAATTCACCAGTTTAATGAAAACACTCATCAAAAAAAATCGAGCTGGGATATAAATTTTAAACCAACTTAATAGTTGAACACAAGTGGTAGCAACACATTCTGACAGACTGCAGCAATCATCAAAACAGCTAATATTACTGGAGCTTACTGCGCAGTTGTGACCGTCTTCTTTGTGCATTTATGTACGCTTGTCCAACGTGACTCGCAAACCGGAAGGAGTCGCACAATGAAATAAAATGCACAAAATTACAATGCGCAAAGAGTTTCTTATTTTTTATTTAATATATAGCTTGAATATTTTAGAGGTGCACCAATTATTCGATTCATCGACAATTATTCGATTATCAAATGAGTCAACAGTTATTTTGACAATCGACCGAATTGAATTCATTTATAACTATCTTTGTGTATAGTCAATATACTGTAAACCAGTTGCGCGGGGGTGTGGGTAGGGAGGTTGAATGTCATGAGCTGCATCTTATATTGTAATGTGTACAAAGCCCCCCCACCCCCGCTTTTTGCCGATTCTTAAAACGTTAATATCTGCCCGAATAAAAGTTGTCCATTTATCTGGATGAGTGCCATGTTGTACCTGCTTCGGCTAGCAAGGATGAATGAGAAAGCAAGGACAAAGTGTGTGTGTGTGTGTGTGTGTGTGTGT